GCAGCTGCAGTTCAGAACTCCAGCCTGACATCAAATTAGGAGAGCTGACCATAAAGTTTAGACTTTGGCCAGGTAGATCCAACCGTATTTTAAAACATTTTTGTAGTTTATCAACCTTACTAAGAAACCATACAGCGAATTACAGAGACTGTAATATTCACTGCTGCCATTATCACAGAAGTATTCTTCCATTTCCAGCTTCATCCACATATCTGGTCTTAATGGAAACTGGCAGAAGAAATGGGTAAAAAGGGAACAGAAGCAAGTATAAGCAGGTAGAGATGCTTCAGCATAAGGAATTTTTGCCTCTCTACATTTTATTTTTTCTCCTACTCTGGTAGCCAACAAATAGTGATAACAGTCAGCTGAACTGCTCTTAGAATGAATAACCACTAACTTTTTCAAAACCCTCCCAGATGCATCAGGTGTTTCATCAGAGGTAATCATGTGGTATCATCCAAAAAGCCTCTCATATCTTTGTCTTAGGAAAACAGGAATCATAAAATCCACAAACATAAAGTATACCTTATCTTGGAATTTATCCTGTTATCATATGAGAAAATCCAAGAAGCAAAGCAAGCAGCTGTAGCCCTGAAATTTGAACAAATTTGAACAAAGAAAAAAATCACCTTCTTGCTCTTTTGCAACTTTGTCCAGGGTTTTGTTTGCACTGCAAAATCCAATAGCTCATCTCCTGGACAGAACTAATAGAGTGATTTGACCAGAATTAGCATCAAGTATGCTACAGTTTCTATCATACACTGCACTGCTATCTTCCTTCTGCAGGCCATATCTCCTCTTGATAAACAATCCCAGCAGATGCGCTCCTTTTTTCAGGGTATAGAGCCAGTTCCACTCCTTTTTATCTTGGTAGGATCAACCCCTGAAATTAAACCTTATCTTGTCCACCTTTTCCAAAGGTAAGATGGAAATGAGGCATATTTTTGGATTTCAGCATGTTTTATTACTAAGTCAAAAATCTGGCTAGTATCTGAAATGCTTCTTTATGGAAAAATCAATTTTTTCCTACCCAAACTAGCTTTCACAGTCATGAAGTCAGTTATAAATACTGACTTATTCACACTTGATTAATCCATCTAAAATAAATCTCTACTTTTTAAAGTTGTATAAATATAATTCTCATTGGTCACTAACATACACCTACAATTGGGAAGCTGTCACTAAATAAATATGTCCTAACTATAACAAGATATATTAGGATGTACACACACACATACACACATATATATATATTTGCATATATATAATATATACACACACACACATACGTACAGAGAAATAAAGTTGGATGCAATAAACTAAAACTACAAAAAAGGTGAGCTTCATGGTTAGTATGTCTTTAAGTGATCTAATCCTTGAAAGTGCAAGGAAGAAAGAAAAGAACATGAATAAGCTCTCTCTCATCCTCATCTTTTATATCATATAAAACAATGAATCACGGAATTACAGTAATGACTTTGAATCCATTGAAGAATAAGGTTATAATTTTAGAAAAGTATTTTCCCTCGAGAATTCTGCAAAGCCCCATCATGTGCCAAAGATTTTCCTTCTTCTTTATTTGACAAGACTTCAATGGTATGTTATTGGGACACTGATTTGGATCAATCCTCAAAGGACAGAATACAAATCTGCACTGCTAGAGCAGGTAAAATAAGTATGAAAAGCTCCTTTCTGTACAATTTTCTGTTCTTCTGTTTCTGCTCTAAGGAAGAAATACTGCCATAATGTTCTTCTGTGATACTTCTGCATTTTTGTTATCAGTTCTAATTCTGTAAATTAGTTGAAAAAATCTTACATGAATACGGCAGAATAAAAATAAAAAAGGCTCAAAACTGACACAAACAAGTGTAAACAAGTTTTTAAAAAAACAAAGCAAGATGACAATGCGTATCTGCATGTGACAGTCTACATGCAAAACTGATCACTGTACCTTCATGTTCCTCTGACTGAATATTTCATATCAGAGAAAGGAAGATCTAACATAACTCCTTTCCTATCAGTTTGTTTGCTTAATTAGCCAGCATTATGTGAAGCTCATCAACTACAAAAATAATTGAAACGGGGCCTTTGATCTCACTCTGAAGAGAGGCATCAACATGTAGGATATTCTCACAAGCTACAGGTTTTATACACCTGAACAGATAAAGGTACACGGAGACATTCTGTGGAGAAGGACTACACAGGACTTTTTCAACTTAGAAAACATAAATAACCACTTACTCTATAGTTCATGCTTTCATTTTGGGAAATATTTGTAATATATTGATAAAATATCTAAATATATGCAAATTTTAATTATCACATTCCCATTATTTTCACTGATGACAGATGGCATACCAAAGCTTTTACAAGAAACATTTTTCTCTTAGCCCTCCTAAACAGCTAAGGGAAAAACATATATAACATATAGTAAACAACTTCTGTATCTCCAGCAATGGATACACAATACTGCCAAAGAATCAAAGAATCCACCAGTAATAGAGAGTAAGACAGTAACAGGACAGAAATAGATTGGTTAAAAGTGATTTTCTACAAAGGACTGTACTTAGGATCTTCCGAGTGCAGTATTTCTTCATCTTGATCCCCAGGGAGAAGACATATTTCTCTCTGATGCTTTGTCTTCTAATTTTCAAATGCATTAGGCTCTAAGCTGAAAACAGGCAATTACTAAGATGAAGATATACTGCTAATGTTTTCAGTATATTAATACGAAATAACTAAAACTAAATTACAGCGCTGATATTTTGTAATACTACCTTTAAATTTGCATTAGATTACCAAATCTTCTAAACCTGACAAAAGTTTAAGCTTAAAATCATTTTGTGGATACACTAAACCTACAGGCTTCCAATCAGTTTTCTAATGTGTCATTTATCTTTGTCACCTACTGGGCCACTCATTTTTTATCCTCTGCCTGAGGAGGAGTAAGCAGTACCTTCCAAAAACATTTGTTTCCTTACCTCACACGAGGTAGAGTGACAGACTGAGACACTCTCCCCAAGGAATCTTTAAGTGAAACATATTAAAAATGTAACAACATCCACAGAATAAAAATTCAGAAGCAACCAATAAACTGCCAATAACTAAGTAGCTTAACCTAGGAGTATGTAAGTCATCAAGTCCAAAAATCTTGACGGTAACGGCAATAAAGAATACGCAGTCCTGCAAAACATTAAACATGCATATTACATTTTCCTTTTACATAATATTTGATTTATGTCCATGAGACTGATCATAACCATAAGTAATCTGTGTTGCCAAAGAACAAGCCAAAGTAATTTAGATTCCCACTGGTGTCATGGAAATACCTTGGTAGATCTGAGAATGTTTTAAGGGTTAGACCCACACCTATTCAGAGGTTGGATACAGCCACCTTTTCTTATCTTGCCTTGTACTTCCTCTCCTTCCCCTTCCCCAGATGACACCATTAATTTCAGGTGTATCATTTCCAGAACAGTACATAAACACAGCGAATGCCAAAATTTACTCAATACAGGTTCTCTCGCTGAGCAGAACTACCAACCAGGAATTTTTTGGAAATTGGCACATTCCAGGGGTGGAATCCTTATATCCTTATAGTTCTTTAGGAAGGAAGGAGAACTCACTTCAGAATCAGCGCTGGGCAAGAACACACTCTGACTGTACCAACACACACAAAGGTTGTGTGCGTGCCATCACACTGATGCGAGTTCCACACACGAAACGCTGGGGAACTGGGAAGTCAGCAGCGCATTAACACTAACTGCTCTAGTTTTCTTCACGGACAGGAAATGTTGCATGACCTGTCATGTTTTCCTGTGACAGAGTTTTTATTTTGAACAGAAGAATATAAATGTTTTAGATCATTCTGCTGGCAGTTCCAACAGTATTTATGAGGGGGAATTTTCGTTCTGTCTCGACACTGACGTTCAAGATTAGTTCCATTTTTTCTTCCCAATTAACTTTTTCAAGACAATAATGTATTTGAAACAAACATAATACTTTCCCTCAGGGCATCAGAAGCTTAGCCTGCCCAATTTCCTTTCAATGGATATTGAAAACAAAGCCCCATATTGCAACTCAGTGGGGAATTAAGTATTATGTGGCATAAGAAATGCCAAATGTGCTATGAAAAATAAATTCAACATTGAGAGCAATAAAAATGCTGTAACCAAAAATCTTTTAAACCACTTTGTTAATGATTGATAGAACTGCCTGTTAGTATTTAAAATCTATTTGTGTTTTAAAGGAAATTAAGACACAAAACTGAGGATTTGTCTTCTCACAATAACACATTGACTGATTAGCATTAAATCATTTGGAATATCCTAGACAATGTGAGGACTTTCCAATCACTTTATACAGCAGTACTGTTTATAACTCCAAAGAATTTAACTTTGATCATTTTAAAAAGATACAGTCCTTCTCAGAACTCTTATTTTTCTGGTATCTTAAATACAAAAATCAATAGTGATCAGCATTACAAGATTATGATAAACTGTGAGATTATAAATGACTTTTTAGATTTACTTTACCTGTAAGTCTTATCAATAAAATTAATTGTTGTGGCAGTTTTTGGATTCTGATCAACAAATTAGTAAGATTTATGCATAATTTATAATTGCAGGTCTTTATTTACAAATTCTAGAGAACTGGAGAACTGAACGGAAAATTATAATTTTTGTGGAGTATTGCACACTAACAGTAATTCCTACCGGAAGAAGAATTCTAGAGAATGTTTTTTTAGGACTGCTAACAGATAGGTTGTCATACATGGTGCTTAGTGATTTCTAGTATAGCCCATTTACAGATATGTAGCATACGTGGTCACAGGTGCATATGTGTATGTTTTATATGCATATACACATTATATATATATACATAGGCGTACACAAAAAATAACACATAATAAGACTTCTTACAAGTGAATGCGCCTCTCATTCTAGGGTAGATTTCAACTTCAGTTGCATCTCTTACATAGAGCTCAGAATGGTACTTACTGATGTGTAGAGGAAGCCTTCTCCATTTAGAGCTATATACAACCCAGTTTTTACACCCTGGATAGCAACAACTCGAAGTCCCACTGGTATAAGGTTGAATAATGCTGTGAAGAGAAAACGTGACCAGATATGAGCATACCACGGTTACTAAAATGCTCTAATCAACAATATTAATAGAAAAGGATGGCAGCTACCGTCTTTATATTTTGTTCGGATATTAAAATTAATCTCATTGAGAAAGTCTTGCTACTGGTTAAGTTAGTACTTCAAATTTAAGCACGTGTGTCTATCTAGCAATCATTCCTGCAACATTTCAGTACTTGGCACAACTGCTAACTAACAACCACAAAGCGCAACACACTGAGCTGCAATCATTTATGTAGCACTATGTACACAAGTATCTCAAGCAAATGGAAAAGAGCCAGAGTCCAACATTTGCTTTACCAGTGTTTACTGGTGATAAGGGTAACACTTCTGAGATACTCTGATATCTTTCCGATTTAGGTAAATAGCTTTTTATTTTCTTAAGCATCAGTGTGTTATTGGATTAATAGGCACTCTTATTAAGACTACTTTCAAGGGGTCTTTGATTTTGAAATTGAAAAGATGTATTTGCCTTTACAAATTAGATCTTTGATAAAAGCAGTAGTACATAGGCCTCAGGTAATTGCAGATGCTTAAGTTTGCATTCAGGAAATCACTAAAACATGTGCTTGTCCCTAAATGTGCATAAATCCTCAAAAAAAGCTGAATTTAGAACATGTTCTAAGACTGACATTCTGAAAAAGTGCTTTTTTTTAAAAAAAAAAAAAAGCTAATCACAGATACACTAGCAATGGTATCCACCTTTTTAACAACAAAAACACAGCTTTGATTAATGTCTGAAAAAGCCCAGAGAGAAGAGGGGGACTTTGCCAGTTTCATAACAGAACAACAAAAGAAAAAGTGATGAAAGTATAAATTTTGTAACAAAACAATTGTTTAATAATGGCAAACAGAGCAAACAGATTTTAAAATCTGTTTTCTTCAAAAATACAGTTGTGCTTTATAAGAATAGAAAGATAAATGATATTTTGATTCAGATCTAGAAGCAAGGACAGAAGATTAGAAGACACTCCTTACAAGAGCCCCACTGCCCACTCCATTTATTGGAAATGCTAGTGTTAGAGAAATGAGACAGAGACCAATTCTTCTTCAAAAATTATGCCAGCAAGCACATCTGTATTAAGTTTGCTGACTCATATTAGAAAATCAGATGGAAACCACACATCAAACAGTCCCTGAAAAAAAGATATGGATGTGCCACAGCTCATGCTAAGCAGCTTTTGCACCGTGGATGAGTCATGGATTCACAAATCCTTGGATGAAAACCACAAGTGCAACCTGCGTGTTCAGCATAGTCATAGAAGATCGTAGTCCCACCAAGTCAAGTCTTAGGAACACTGCAAAATCGACAGTGAGTTGCTCAAAATTTAGAAAGGGGAGTCATAAGTGTGACCAGAAAGTATACACTATGAGGCTACCTGTAATTAGATTGTCAGAAATGAAACCCAAGTCAATAAAAATGTGAAATGTATTTGCAAGGGACAAGTAGGTACATTCTCAAGGGGTGACAACACCTGGCTGGTCAAAGAATACAAAGAACTTATGATAAGGCTGAACAAATTTTCATAACTGACAAAAAAACAGGTTGACTATTAGAACTTAAAAAAACCCCTTTTCTTCAATAGTAATATTATCTGGAATATTCTCATGCAGAAAATGAATACGTAACATAAGATCTTTTTAGGAAGTTACAAAGCCACTATAAAGCTAGGAATTCTAGCGGAGTACTTCCTACAGCTGTAGAAAGAAAGATACATTTAAAGGAGCTCTAGAACAACATAAGAAGAAATTTATGGATTTACAAAAGAGAATAGAAGTGATGACCTAAGACAAGAATTAGCACAAACATATATTATTTTCATTTCTGCAGTTTTGAAGTCGGAGTCAAGCTAGATCTTACTTGGCTGATCACTGCAAAAATACTTGGTACAGGGAAGATTCCCTCTTTAATCTATAGGAGATGTGAATCAGGGAAATATGGCAGTAATGGAAAAGATATCCTAGGAGCATATAGGCAATATACTGCATGATTTGAGGGCCTTCAAACGTATAACATAATTTAGAAGTTTTAAAATACCCACTATTACCCTCAACTGGAAAAAAAATCAGTCAGTAAAACCACTGGGGTTGGTGGAGAGATAGGGACGGTCAGTCTGTCACAGAACAAATGGATTTCAAATTGAATTGACCATCAAGGCTACTAAGGCGAGAAGGATCAAGAAACAAATGGAAAAAAAAACGGACAAGTACGCAGTTTAGATTGTCTTTTTTCTAAAAGAAAAAAAATTCCAGGAGGAAATCTGGATATGAAAACGATACTAGAGGAAAGGCAGCAACTATGCCTTGCCCTGCCCTACAATTTATTTAGGAGATACCAGGAAGGAAAATAAACAATATTTTTATAAGGAAAAAGGTGAACACCAACCCGAGTCATCCACAGAAAAATGCAAAATTAAAAAATAACTTCAGATCGTAATGGTCCAGTCCAAACTTCTGGAAAGCGGATTTCATTTAATGTATTACTGATAAAAAATAAAGAAGCAAAACAAGAAAAAAAACAGCAACCTTTGAAGGAGAACTACAGGCCTTTAACATGACAGTGTTTTATGCAACCTATAAAACTACTAGAGTGGCTTATTGTTATTAGTGAATTTAGAAAGCACTATAGCGGGGATATTATGCATCTTTTACTGCTACCAAGTTTTAAGCAGAGATTGTCACAGCTGCTGTAATTAGTCTAAGACCATAAAATTTTAGAGTGCAAACCCAAATGCTGGAATTCTGCACACACAGAATATTAAGCATCTACCACAAAATCTTTCAGACTTTGGTGAAACTAGGGAGGCGAGTCTACATGCAATTATTGATACATAAATGCTCAGCAAAGTATGTGCTTCATACTGAGATCAGCGAAACACACACCAGTAATGCACAGCATGTGATTTTTACGTGCTCAGAAGCTGGCCAAAGGAAAATTAATTTCCTCCAGAACCTAGCTGTGCAGTACCCTTCAGTGAGTAATATTTCTATGTACAATTGCAAATTTCAAACCTTTTGAAGATTCAGCTGTGCTGAATAAGAATCTGCGCTACAGAAGCACAAAGCTTTCCAGAGTTTGCTGGCACTACAAAGACCAGAAAAGCCAAAGCTATGCCGTTACATGAAAAGAAAAAAAATGTGGCAGAAAAAAAACATGCTCCCAGCTCTTGTCTATTTCTATGACAACGATCCAGAACCAAAAATAATCGAGGAGTGAGGTCCCAGAATGTCTTTATTTACCTAAGCCCAGCCCAACAAGTCTGCATACGAGTTGAGACGGCACTCCTGAAGAGCTCAGAAAATACAATTTTGCCTGGTGCTCAATTCTCCCATACTTCACCCTGAAGTATGAAGCCTGGTAAATCCAAATCTAAATAAGAGGTGGGAACACCAGAGATATTAGGCGATCCGATCAGCAAAAACTGTGTGAGTAAAACCCTTTCTCTTCCCTGGCTCTGACCCATACACAATCTCTTAGCTCTATTTTTGTATTCCATCTAATTCGATGACTATAAAGTAGATGATTTCTCTCCCTTTTCATACACTTGCAAGCCTACTTCCATCACGTATGAGATGATAAAATGTGCGAGGCAGGTAACAATAATAACTGACATGGAAAAAACAGGATTTTCATTGTTATTCTTTTAAGGATTGTGGAGGAGATTTGCTCGCACAAATCTGAGCTGGATTCTGAATCCTCTGAAAGTTTGGATCAAAGCCAAAGTTTTAGAGAGGCTACACTTTTGACATGATAAATCATTCCTGTACTCGAGCAAAATACAAAAAATCCCATATTTCTCTTTCTCTCTCTCATTTTATTTATATAATACCATCACAGTGTACTAACTTGAAATGTGAAATGCCTGAAATCAATTACTTTGATATCCCTGCCAAAGTCTATTTAGGTATGACTGATTTGTAGCCACAAAAAAATTGCCATTACAGATAAATGTTTTTCTTAGCATAGCTTGCTAGAGACCTGCTACTTAAGGCTTATGAACTTGCTATCTGTTCTGCATAGGCACTGCCCTAACATCAATCAACACAACATCACACACTACTGAACCTGTAATAGGTTAAAGGCAACTCTCTCTAATTTATTTTCATCTACAGGCCTAAAGACAAAAATGATGACTTCAATCAAAACATCTTTTAGATGAGTAATGAGTGCAAGGAGAATAATAATCAAAGACATAGCCATCCATTTCTTATGGAGGAAACCCCTTTCTCCCGACTGATGTTACACAAGATGTAACAAAAACACACTCTTCAGTATGGCTGAACATGGACTCCATGGATTATGCAGCCTTGACAAAGAGTTAACAAGTGGGAGAAATGGGCTTATCTAACTCCCGAAGGTTAGAAAATAAATATATGACTAAATGGCTGTATAAATCTTTGAGTACAAACTGCTGTTAAAAAAACAGTGAAAAAAATTAGACCATACATATTTCAATTTAGTGGTCCAAATTTATCAGCATTGCAGGTGCTGTTTTTTAATCTTCACATGCTTTATTTCTGCCTAATTATCTTCTTTACCTTACAAGGATGCTGTGAAGATTTGTTTTAATTAATATCTTCAAACTGAAATATTCTAGTGGCAGGTACTTTAGAAAGACTTATTAAAAAGTTAAAACTTCCATATTCAATTTGGAAGATATAAATAAGCATTTGGAGCATGTATTAAAGGATGAAAATAAAGGCATGTTAAATAGCAGCATGATTTCTTGAACACAAACTCTTCTAGGTACCAAGTGTCATGAAGGAAGTAAAGCATGTTGTTGCATAATTAAACAAGAGACGTGCACAGCACAGCCAAATCAAAGTTTCTTGGGTAAGCTTAATTTTGGCATTACCAGCTAATGAAATATGGCTAGAAATGAGCAATATTTTCTTAACCTGTCTGAAATAGAACTGTAATGTTATATTTCGTGAGGGATATGAATAACAACATTTCAGTCTTAAAATCAGAGTTATCACCCATTAAGAAAAGTATCATTTATGTGGAAGTTTATCAGTGGTTGTCGTCTGAGATATATTTTTCAGGTGAATCAAGGAAAAAAAAAAGTAGGGCTAAGTAATTCTAGGTTCCAATCTCCACAATTAAAAAAATCAGAATTGCCTATATTCCAAATTAGATTACTCATCCTACTAACAACACCCTTCATTCATGCGAACAAACGTTGAAGACAGTCCAAAGTCCAATGATGAGCCATTCTGGGTGTGAAGGAGGACAGGAGGAGAACACAGTGCCATGTTTGTTACCACGAGCACAACATGGAAATCCCCTCTATTTTTTTCATAGTTTCTGTACAGTAGGTCATTTTTCCAAATTAATAATGGTTAGGCCTATGGAAAAGACTGCAAACTACTACACCCTGAAGCAAGTTCTGTTTGCACCAAGTAATGCCGAGAACTTCTGTGAAATCCAGGCAAACAGAAGCTAAAGAGGAGCAACTATGCTAAGTAGGATCACAATAACCAAGTCTACAGCTCTAGACACGACTGCTCCTGCTTACACCACAAGCAAGTCACAAACACAGAGCAGAAACTGTAAGGCATTAAATGAAGTTGAAAGAAAAAAACAACTAAAAGAAGAAAAGTAATGTAAAAAAGCCTCTTTCACGTGTCACTGCAAATTTGGCAAAACTACAGACTGTACACAGAAGACAGTTTAAACACATAGCCCCAGTATGATGATGTGATTATATGGAAACTCAGTACCATTAACCAACAGCTGGATAAGTTAATACTCCAATAGTAGTTGGAGTATTTTCACTTACTAGAGAAAAATACAAAAAGGAAGTTACAACAATGAACAAAACCAATCACGCTATTTAGTTTAGGTTCTGGTAGCACAGCCACCAATGTAGTATCTAAGCAGAAAAAAGTACATTAAGGGATGCAGTTACAAGCAGTTACATCTGATCTTTCTTTTCCTACATGCGTCTTCTCATCTGAGGATTTGTGCACAATGATATATTAAAAATCTTACTATCTACATGAGCAGACCCTGGCCTTTACTCAGGTTTAAGATAAGCTGGGACAATGACTTACGCTATAACAGTTGACAAAAAAGTACTATAAAAAAAATGCAGAGTGGAATTTTTGAGGATCTTTGTACTGACAACTCTACTTCACAGAAATATCTTATACAATTTATTTTGACTCCAGAAAGAAGCAAAAAGCCAATATTAAAGAGACTACCAAGAAGCTTTAAAGACATACAAAGAATGGATGTTGACAGAACTACTCAAACTGAGCAGACTCCAGTTTACTTTTACTTTGGACTTCCCCTCTATAACATCGTAGTTACAGAAGTGTGCAATTCATATTTACTGAGGTACATATGAGTACAAAATGATATGGGCACTTCTGGGGGGTATTTTTATTTTAGGCAGTCCTCTAATTGCTTGACACACATGGATACAGAACAAATTGCAACAGCAACAGCAAGTGGTAGTACAACTAAACTTCAAACAGTTTCCTTACTACAAACAAAAAGACACTTCTCTGTTCCTCACTATTCCTCACTCTGGTTTCTCCAAGACACACAGCTGCCCAGATGGTCTATAATGTGAGGAGAGCTCTTTCACAGGCTTCAGTGCAGAGCGCACGTGGAAGGCTGGCAGAGATGCATGCCTTCAGCAGACTCAATTTCCCGTGTTTTTATGAAACACACTTCAGAACTATTATAAAGAGAATGAAAGTTACTCTCGCTACCAAGGTAAGAGTACTATCCCTCCTACTGACAGCTAATATATGTCCATCCCTTCCCACGCTGTGTGCATTCAATAGACATTCTGCAAACTCAGTGGTCAGAAGATTTCTTCCTCCCAACCTGAGCCCAGCAGGAGGGCCAGGCTGCAACTGGGGCCACGCTTCTTCCTCTGCGGCTGCCAAAACTTATTTACCAGTAAGTCTCAGACATGAATTATCATGATAAGAAGCTCAGAAAAGAAAAGACTAAACGACTGGAAACTATATCCAAAGAAAATGGCTTTTTAAAAGCAAAAGAGAAAAGCAAAACCAAAATATGGTACAATAAAGAAAAGTGACAGAAAATCAAGACTTCAACAGAAAATGGAAGGAAATAGAGTGGAAAGGTGAAATAACTGAGGAGAAAGACAGCACAAAAGAAATAGACACACACTCATATACTATTTAATGTGCCAAAAATATAATCTTTAATATAACACATTAATCTTTTCAACTCTCGATGCTGTGTTGATACTTAGATACTAACAACATTTAAGGTGGTGATAATATGCTTCCTGGCATGCACATTGATTTTACATCATTACGGTCTAGCCTCTCTTTATCGAACAATACTTTAAAATTGGACTAATGAAGAAATACACGGTGACTCACGCCAATTAAAGAGAGAAAAAAAATTTTCATAGCAAAAACTCATTCTAGCCTAAAAGTCATGTCAAAGTAAAACATAAGATTATCTAACAGTACATATGCAAAATATAAAGTACTTTTATCGAGTGTTTGTGTGTTTTTTGACAACATCTACATGTTAGAATATTTATAATATTGAATATTCCTGCTACTTTGGAACAGCTGAGAAGAATAAGAGAGCTGGGCAGACAGATGGAAGCCTAGAAGGGCAGGGAAGAGGGGAAAGAGGGGGAAAATAACATAGTAAGGAAAAAAAAAGGAACATTAGTAAAGTTGCTAACAGAGAAAAGAAGAAAATAAGGCATTAATTGTGTAGCTTTGCAAAGATTCCAAATTTGTATTTAGAGTTGCAAGATAAATACATAGAAATAATATTAAACATTCCAAAATTACTGCCCGTACACACTTCCTCACTGAAGCTGAAAGTATGAGAAAGAAAGACAGAAGGAGAAAAAGATACCCATACAAACTCTAAGGCACTTACTTCTCAAACTTAATATAGACAAAATTTCTATGAAAAGTAACAATGAGCCGATCTGTACAAGGTCTCAGTATCTGATGCATTACAGGAGTGGGCATGAGAGATGGACACACTAAGGAAAAGGAAAAAAAATAACAACAAGGAATAGAGGGGGAAAAAAAGATTCTCAAAAACCAGCAGAGCTAGAAATATACATCAAAATAGATTAATGAATTATTTATTTCAAATTAGAACAATAAAAGAGATAAAGCAGATGCTATCTGTTCAGGAAATACATTAAAAATGATACCCATGCATTAACAGGGATGGAAGCCACCCAAATAAAAGTAGACACCAAAAATCCTTTAGTTTTTGTAGCCTCATTCCAACAAACTTGAGGAAATTCGAGGCTTATTTATTTATGCATGGTAAGCAGATAAATGTTTTACATTCAACATGCTTAAAATAGAACTTAAGACCACATAGAAATATTTTACATAAATAGCCCCCACTAAAATGGAATAAAAAAATACAAATGTTCTATGCTAAATGGAAAATTAAAAATCCACTGTTTCTGGCATAAGAATAGGTTTACTTAATTATCATTTGCAGCTCACATTATCAAACATATACAGGTTAACTGAATGAAAATATGTACTAGTATCACATGAAATGAAATATAGCAAAGCAGTGATCCCCACTGACCTTCAAGAGTTACACCATTTTCGTTCGGAATATTTTTCCAAACTGCCTCGTAGAGCAGTCCCTACACTTGCAGAAATCCTGTTAAAATCATTGGAACTCTTGCTGGTGTAGGGACTTCAGGATCAGTCTCTTTAGCCCCAGTTCAGCAAGGTACTTTGGCATGTGCTTTAAACAGGATTTAAATAGTTACAGTTAGACATACATTTTTTTGCCTTGCTGAATCAGGGCCTACGTTATCAGGTTTCCAAATAGTTATGATTTTTTTTTTTTACTTATTTATTTAAAGATAACAAAATGCTTTTAAATAAAAGGTTTATGAAGAAATTACCAAAAGACTTAACATTGGTCTGAATGTCTCACCAGTGAGGTCTACCAGCACTTCTACCCTTGCTTCCAGTGGAAATACATTTAAGACAACATTCTGCACGAGACATGCAGGTGGTTATTAGATTTTAAATGGACAGACCCTCCCTCGCACCCCCCCCCTTTTTTTTTTTTGACAAAATACATTTGAAAACCCTCAAAACCCATTAAAGTTCTGTCTGCAGGTATATACGTGAATGAGTCAATCTGTGTTTGCGATTAATACATTCCCCTATAGCAGTCACTTACTAGAATTACTGCTGTCATCCTTGGTTCCATCGAGAGTTCCATCGGGGTGCATTTGCAAGTAGTAGCCTTGCCTGCAATATAACCTGGTCACTATACCCTTGAGCTGGGGATCTGAAAGACAAACATATTTTGTCACTAGCCTCAAAACTTTTTCCAAGAGTTACCCCTATTTCTCTCACGGTAGAAGGGAGTGGGTTGAAGCAGCATGGCTGTCTTAAAGTAATACTAAACAGGATGAATCCTAATGGAGATGAGGAAAAAAAAAAAACTTTCTGCAGACTATTATTACTCCAGTTTCATGTCCTCTTTGCTGCCTTGAACATCCTTCATTAGAATTAACAGAGGTAAAACAGAAAAAAAATACTGTACATAATGAAAAGATTTAAGCTAGATTAGACCCTACAACAAATTTTACACTTCATCAGCAAATATAGAGCCTTACAGAAACAAAACATGTAAAAACCCTAATCATATTTGAGTATGTTAGTAACTTAAGTTTTAATGACACTTGCATGAAAATATCTCTCTCCTTTTACTTTCTACCAAAAGTGATAAACTTTCTACTATAATATTTTGTAATACTCCCACCTGGAGAGTTTCCAAAATCCTTTACCAATCAAGAGGCAGATACTATTCACCTGCCCTCTTCCATCCCCCAGTGAACAACACCCACAAACAGGGCAAGACATAGCCCTTCTTAACAAGAGAAAATAACTGGAAAACACCTTAGTGAACTAAAAGTAAATGGGAAATTTATGTAGCTGAGAAGTTAAGCAACCCTGTTTAATACTGTACGTTTACGAAAATTACTAATAATTGAGTAGAGTCTACTGAGCAACAACTTTATGATTCATCTCAAAGATGGTGCTTTACCAAATCATATATTAGCCGGCTGCAGAATTGGCTCAATGTTGAGACAAAGGACATCACACCTTAAGGAACCTAACAGCACTACTTGTGCAAGCTGCTGGTATTAATGTTGTTAGAAATCAACTATTAGACCCAACTCTAGGTGATCAGTATAATAAGATATCAAATTGTGGGGACATGGCAGTAAATTCATATCTGTGATATCATGCTTAGCTCCACAGTAATGAACTAAAACCATAAAGAATTTGAGATAGATAATTAATAAAATTAACTGTTAAAACAGAAATTATTGTCATGCAAATATGTGCCCAGAATACAAAATCCTTCCTTGAATGTGTGTATAATTGCTGTCACAGTCAGTCATGCTGGGTTACTTACAGTATCCTTAGGGAAGGTGAAAATAATGACTTATAAATAAAACTGTCTCTAAAAGGAATGTTTAAAAGGTTTCTGTAAGGACTCATTTCAATGAAATGATTATGGAAATGATAAGTTTTTCTTGACTATTCACTATATTCCTAAAGAAATTGTAAGTTTGTATTACAAAGTCATATTAAACCAATACACCCATCTAAATTAAAAATGTAAGATGAACAAATAAACTGCAAATAGCAGAGACATTGTTACCATAAATATTAACACTATAAAATCATTGAGGCATGGAAATAAATAGTATAAATATTTGATGATTAACATGTAAGCAAATTACAATTTTTTCTTTTTTCTTTTTTGCTGTCCACTGCAAATTTTGCCCTCCAGGAGTTTTTACTTTAGCAAAAGTTTCTCTGTATTTATATAATCTGTTGTATTCAGAGAAACTCTTACAATTTATAAATAGCATAAACTCTGTTTTCTTTGAATGTACTCTCTCAATCATTATTTAATCATTATTCAAAAATGGAAAGTGAGTTCCTCTTATATAGGTGCTTTTTTCCTATCAATAACATATACTTTCAATATGCATTTCCAAACTGACAGATTTAAACATACTTACTTTATACATATTAAAACTGCATCTCAGAAGACTAAAGAAAATAATTAAAGCAATAGCTTTAGAAGGCATTTACAGTAAAAAAATCAGTATTTAGAAAAACTCTTCCTATACACAAACATGAAGAAAATCAACTTCCAGCTTCAAGGAAGTATCTCATAGGAAAGTAAATTACAGTCAACTCATTAACACCAGCTGTTTTACGCCTCCTCATTGCTCCAAGGGAGAAATGTGAAATTTAGAAGTGACTTTCACTTTATCCTTATTATCATTCTGTTTTGTTTATTTTTTATATTCACAAATAAAATCTACTTTCTAACATTTTTAACAAGGAGTCATACAACCATATGTCTTTGTTTTCGCCAGAAGTATTATTTAGCTCTGCTGTACCTGCTATCCACAATTATATTTGAATTAAAATAATTTGCTGGATAGCTATGCATTTCAGCTATAATTTCAGGCTACATAAGATGGGGCAAGGTATGAAAACCCCATTTATTTGTTCACTCAGGTTCAAATATAGCAAAATAATAGCTGGTCTAGCATGACAGCAGGGGATCCCAGTCATGTGTTTTAGTTCATTTGGATAGAGTGTTAATGGTTTCAGTTGTCAGAGAACTGAACAAAACTGGCTCCAAACATGGCTCTTGCACTTAAATGTTTCATTTAAAACTGGAACTTAATAATAATAGCTCAATACAAATCAATATTTTCATTATGAAAAGTAGATCTCTGTAGAATAGACTAATCTTTTTTTTCCAAGAAATGTAGGAATTGTAATGTTTCATTTTCTTATTTTCTTTCTTCCTATGGACTATTAGAACCCTTTTGCCCCACCTTCCCAAGAATGCCCTTTCTGCCTTAAGGTACTATATGTCCTTAGGAAGATTAAAATTTTTATTCTTGACAGGAAATTTAACCATAGATTTTTTTATTAGTTCTAGATGGCAGTATTTAGTCAATATATATCACAGCACTTCAGATCTAGAAAGCAAAGCAGAAGATGAATTGATCTGTTTTAGCTAAACTGTGGGAGTTTGACAATGAGATGTGGTGTTTCTTTTATCTTAGCCAAAAAACAAACCACAGTTACTGATAGAGTCATATAAAACAATTTGTTCATCCCAGCGCAACTCATAGTAAGCAGCAGTCAAAAAGACTACTCCATACAAATTCAGGGTAAACATCTTAAAGAAGTAGTAGACAATCTCATCAGGCAAGGAATTTGTAAAGAGAAATCCATTTTTTATGCAACTACAGTCTCTAGGAGAGTTTGCCTACCCATAGTCACTTCAGAATATTATAGAAACATATATAGAAGGTTTCCAAACAAGTTTCTCAAATCCTTCTTGACCGCACTTTTGGTTTTTTTTTTGTCCTTTAGAAAGAAGGAGCTAAGAGCAACGCCCGGAAACACCAACAAAAGACTGAGGCTGCCTGTCTGCAGAGGCATTGGATGTGTTATGCTTGTAACTCCCCTCATGGTGATACACATAAATCAACAACTACCCTTATGCTTCACGTCACACACATGCCTTTGTCTTCCCACCAGACCAAATGCATATAAAAGAGAAAGGCAATGGTAAGAGAATACAGCCAAATAATAAAATGAAATAAAATAATAATAAAAATGAACAAGATGAGGGTAGATAACCTTCCCAAAAATTCGCAGCTCATACAGTTTTATTATATATTTTACGTTACTTGTTCTCTTGAAGTCCTATCCTCTATAGCCAGATGTTTATCTGAAAATCTTAGTTTTGATTCAATTCTAAACACCTAGGCTTCAGGAAAAAAGCCTTCAACATAGTTCAAATTCAAAAAACAGTTCCACATCTCCTAATGATTTTAATGATCTTATTTGGGGCCTCGATTCTGAATGGTTCATTTTGACAATATGGGCAATGCCCCAGCATGGAAAGAATTATTCCGTTTTGTAATTATTCCAGATTGTCTCCAAAAGTTCAACAATGTTCTACTGAATCAATAAATCAACACCTTCTCAAATCTGTCTCTTTCACAGCAACTTGTGTCACAGCAGTCACTCGCAGCCCATCTTTATTGTTCTTTTTCCTTGTCAGTGACAATGGTAGCATGTATGATTATAGTTAGCATGCACACTCTGGCAGGAGCTTTTCTTGTGTCCTCGACAAAGACAGAGATTAATTAAGACGTCTTCGCTTCTCCCTGTAACAGAGGCTACAAAAACTGTTTTGACATTAAGCCTTGACAGGCTGAGTGTAGCTGCTGCTTTAGAAAATCTTTGACACTTTATGTTTTAAATTCAGCGTATTTTCAGTTTACAGAATAGAATGGCTTGAGTACCTCCTCTTCTTCGCCCAAGAGAAGATAATATTTAGAGGTACGCCCTCTACATTTAGAACAGCATCAAACTCATGCTAACAGCTGCAAGTTCCAGGTCTGTCATCTTTTACTTGCACTTTATTCTTGCATTTACCTCCTCCAGGTTTTTACCTTTGGATATTTCAGTACTGAAAACATCATTCATACTGGTCCAGAACAAATCAGATGTCTTTTTTAAGCATTCTAATACTCTAATAGTCACCGTGGACTGACTCTCATTTCTTGTTCTCTGATGTTATGAGTAGTTTTTGTAATAACCTTTTCTCTCCTCTATTAAACTTAATTTGAAATATCAAAAACATTCCTGATCTGTATTAGGATAAAAACAAACAAAATCCCCCACAGATTTCTTGTGAAGTAGTAAAGTGAAACATCAAAACACCCCCCCCAAAGCACAGACATGACTCACCCACTCTAGACCCATCTATCACTTATTTCTTAGGGCACTGGCCTGAGATGTACAAAAGCCCAGCTTTTGCCTCTTCTGACAATACAGTTATTTAGACTTTTGGACTCCTGCTGAAGGCAATCTACTTTGCGTAGTAAGTAAATGTCCACCAAGGGAGCCATTAGAGCCTATCCACTAGATCATAGTTTGAGTCAGTCTCCAGCCCTTAACTGACTTCTATGCAGAAGCACATTAATGATACTATTCGTAACTTTAAAATGTTTGTCGCTATTAGTCAGTATTTTGGAACTTTTTACCACTAGGTAATGCAGCTCCAGAAGAAGGGATCAAATCCTATGTAAAATGCAATTTCCCTTTTTTAGATTCTTTATTTAAAGTATTTCAGTTCCTTCTACAACTCTTTTCCACTTTTCAAAAGTTTGCTTCTTCTTAAGCATACTGTTTATGTTTTACTTCCAGAAGTACTCTAAGAGGTGC